TTTTTTCCACCCGCCAATGAGTCTTCCTCCTGATTGCGTTTCGTCACTGGGGTGACTCGTTCGTCTTGTATTTGCTGACGAAATTGTCAATCAATTTAGTTATCGTATCGACTGACTTCTATTTTTGTTTTCATTTAAAAAAAAAAGTGTGACGAAAAGAATGAGGAACATTTTTAGGCAACAAAATCAACACTGGATCTTTTTTTTTTTTACCACCCGCCAATGAGTCTTCCTCCTGATTGCGTTTCGTCACTGGGGTGACTCGTTCGTCTTGTATTTGCTGACGAAATTGTCAATCAATTTAGTTATCGTATAGACTGACTTCTATTTTTGTTTTCGTTTAAAAAAAGTGTGACGAAAAGAATGACGAACATTTTTAGGCAACAAAATTAACACTGGATCTTTTTTTTTTTTTAACTTCAAGACCTCCCCCCAAACCAGCAAACTTGGTCTTATATTAAATATTTAGCTTTTGTTTCTACCATGTTGCTGACATCAATTCAAACAATTTAGGCTTTGGAAAGCAACATTCAAAAATTCAATTTTGACCTGATTTGAGACGTGTTTTATTGCAGCTCATAATTGTAAGGCTAATCTTTTTCTGCTTCATATTTTTCTACCCCACTGGGGAAGGAGTGCCTCACCAGTCTCGAATCTCACCGCATGTTCATCAACAGGCTACTTTGAAGGAGTGTGTGTTTTTGCATTCACTTTTTAATAAATCCAATCAAAGCAATTTAATTACAATAATATGCTTATGATTCCAATCGTGCAGTATGATGTGTCTCCTTCGAGGGGCACTACACCTTAGTACAGCCTCTAGAGCAGGGGTGCCCAACCTTTTTTGACCAAAGATCTAATTTTCGATCAACCAACCTCCCACGATCGACCCGTTACCGCACACGTGTGCATACACACGCACGTACACACGCATGGTCTGATGAGCAACCACCATAACGGCCCCTAGAGTGAACGAAATCGAAAAATAAAGTAGACACCAAAGTTTGTGAAAAGCAAATCCCTGCCTACCTTTGTCGAGACCTGAGGCATGGAACGCACTTTTGCAGCGTGTTAACGATCGTAGCTCACATGTGCCGTTTTAAAATGCTTCTATGATTGTAGCTCACGTGCACTATTTTAAAATGCTTCTCCCGGCACTCCAGATTGCCATTCTTTGCCAGTGCCCTTGGTGAATTGTACATGAAACAAACTCATGAAAAAAAGATATAGAGCAACAGTTCTGATCGCAAGCTGCAATTACAGACTGCTGACCACTAACAACTTCCGGTGATGCAGGTCACACGCCATCGTAGGTTACCTGCTTTTTTATTTAGTTTTTTTAAATACTTTTTGTGAAAGTGACATTGATAAGGGTGCAATGTGAACTAACACAAAAACGATATCATATTAACACGCACACAAACACACAAATGTTTTGCGTCCCTCCCAGCCCCCTCTAAACCCCTCGCAATCTACTTGGGACCAGTCCGCGAGCTCCCGGTCGATCACGATGGACGTATTAGGCACCCCTGCTATAGAGAGCCCAAAAGAGACTCAAGTCTACAAGAGAATGCACGCACTGACAGAATAGTCAGCATCATGTCCTGCTGTCTGTCCACTGTCTCCACCCAAAGTGTGTACATTTCATGAGGCTGTGTAAGTGGCCCACTTAAGTAAATGGGAAAACCTGCGCTGCAAAAAAAGCGTGCAGCGGCGCGCCTTTTCTGACTTGAGCCCCTGGGAGAATATGCCCCAATGTGAATACTGGGCATACAGCCATATGAAAATGGTTAACCTTTAAAAAGAGGTCAACACAACGAAAAGTCTATAAAATAAAATAAACACATTGGTCAACATAGAGACTGCATATACACTTTGACAACATGTGCAAAGTATTTTGTGAACACGTGCAATGAATCTCTCCTCACATCAAGCATGGAAATACACAAAAAATGTCTACCTTATTCTTTGAAAATGTGTGTAGCGCATAGAATTTTGGTGAACACACACCACAATAAACTCGAGGGGGGTCAAAACAGCTGTGACGTCACACCTGTTGCCAGTACAATTATTCTCATATAAGTATCAAAACAGCATCTGAAAAAATAAACAGAATATTGCCAAACTAGTAACTTCACATTCCTTCTCATCATCTATTTATTTTCGCTTGGTCACACTTTTTTTCCGCATTCCAGTGAGCGGCATTTTTTTTTTTTTTTTAAACTTAAATTTTAAGGCACTATGGCGGTGAATTGGTTCTGTGCATGTTAATCAGCATGCTATTTTATAGGTTACAAAAACCCAAGTGGGTTTGATGACATAATCACATTTATTTAGCTGGGCCGTGGAAGGTCAAGAATCTGAGGGTGGATCTCAATTCTCTTCCTAGCTTGCTTAGACCTCCTCAATAAAGAACAGCAGCAAGTCAGCAAAGGGGAAAATGAGATGATCCCGAAAGGTCTGTCGCTACCCGCAGGATGTGTGGGGCAGGGTTTTCAAGTTGAGAGCACAAGGCAGTGTTTGACTTTGCAAATTGGTAACCACCCAATGGTTGGTGCACACCAGGAGCATTTTAAAAACAAAATGATTCCATAAGTTTACTTTATTATTAGTTATTCTCTGATGGTTAGCTTCAGGTTCAACAATGACATTATGTGGTCCCCAAAGTTCAAACATGGACAATGGAATTTAAAACAATAAATAAAATGGGATACAGTCACAGTGACCATGAACAGCATAAGTGGTATAGAACACAAATGGCTGAAATAACAAACACAGGTGTGTTTTTAATAATTCCTAATGCTAATTTGTACTTTGAATACTGCAACAGTCAACCGTACCAAGGGAACTAAACTGTTTCATCATACAATAGTTTAATGTAAGATATAAATCTTACACATTTGTGTCTCTTTCAACTTAACTGGTTGAGGCCAATGAGCAACCACAATGCCTCAGCAACCCATGTGGGTCCTGCTGCCTTGGACAGAGTGGGTGTAATGGAGAGCTGACGGATCACGCCACATGTTCAATCAGTGACTGAGCTTCTCCAACCGTGCTCTCATTGTTTCAGTCCAGAGAGAATTTTCAAGGAGATGATGGAAACTTTTTTACTCCATTTAAAAAGAGGGCAACACTTCCTTTCCCAGAACAATTTATCTCTCTTCTTGACAAGACAACCTGCTATATTTACCCAACTAAAATCACAGATGATATACTTCCAGCTGCACAACTCTCGAGCTCTGTGCCACATGCTCCTGTCAATCATGCTAGGTCGAACAAAACAGCCGTTAGTTAGCCAGACACAGAGCAATAGAACAGAAACAACACAGCAGAGACCTGGCCTGGCCGAGAAATCTTGAGGGAACCAATTCATATTTCCCTCCCTGTTTGCCTTTTTGTGTTAGTAAGCGCAGATGCACACGCTTGACTGAATGGAATTACAGAGCTTTCATAATGCAGGCAGCTGGGGCGATATGAAAACCCCGAAACAGCCCACCCACAAGTTTTTCAAATGAAATATGTGCTTCTGAAGGGCAAATGGATAGAAAGATATACTGTATTGTGTTATTCTGGCGAAAAATAAAAAAAAAAATAAAAATCAAATCAGTATGTACGGCACAGATCACATCCCTGTTGAGGTTATTTGACCTTCTTTTGTCTTTCAACAGGGTATGAATGTAACATAAGAGACAAACTGCACATGGGAATTGGGTTTAAGGGTCCTTGACATGGACTCATTATTTAAACTGTCTCCCTTGACAAGTAAGTTGGTTTAGTTATGATAAAAATCAGGTCAAATAGAAAAGGCATGTTTTTTATTTCTTTTATTCATGGCAAGGGTGGGGGTGGGGGGGGGGGGGGATTGGGTTGAACCAACTTGGTAAATTTCTGAGCCAGCAGTGCCTGTCCATCTAACAACGGCTGAGGAATTCCCTGGAGACAGACAACACCAGCGTGGGTTAAAGCTGCACAAGCATCGTGTAATGACTGTCCAATGGCCTGCCACTGTTGCAACTGGAGACGAAGGACTGTGAAAGCTGCCAAGTCTCATTGCAAAGACATGACAACATGCAGTATTGTCCAAGCCAGCGCAAGTCTGTCAGACAGCACTGTGCAGTATATAAAAAAACCAACTCATTAAATCATGCCACTTCAAGGGGTAGAAAAGATAACCAGTACAATTGACTGCCAGACAATTTGCACAGAAAATTGCATGGAAAGATGCATCAAAGTCTTCAGGCTGGCACACATTGACCAAACCCTACTGAACTCTCGTGCAGTGTTCGAATGAATGAATGAATGAATACTTTATTGTCATTGCACACTTGTTACAACGAAATTCTGCAGGAGCCTCCACCCCCAAGTGCGTCGCGAAATATAAAAATATAAAAAATATATAAATACATTGCACTCCCCTAGACCCACACACAATCACACGCATACGTTTAAAATTGATAGTCAGCGTTATGGAATGGATTTTTTTTTTTAAATTGTGATAAGAATATGTTAGATATTCGGCACTAGTTAAGGTACAGTCCAAGTTGTCTTACAAAATGATATGAATCAGGGATTAACATGACAGTATGTGGACGAGATGAGGCAACTACTTTTTCAGGAGTGGCTGAGACTCAGCCAATGGTTTTGTGGTGATTCAAAAATCGCAGTTATGCAATGTGGCAACGTCATAGATTACAACCAATCAGAATGCAGACGTGGGCATTCCTTATCCTGACACTCCCTGACTGATCCTGGGTTCATGTTCTGCTAGCATGCTTGTGACTACTGTTAGCATGAGAAAGAGCCCAATCAGGCTACACTAGTATTGCAATTCTTGTGAAAACGTAAAAGACTGAGACACACCACTGACTGACAAGTAGATAACCTTGTGTTTCCAATTAACTACTGGAATACAATTTATTTGACAGGTAACAAGGCTCGTCTACGACAAGTTTTAAGCGCATGACGGCCGTCCAACCTGCATCGGTATCACAAGCACAAACCTTTTATGTGGCTGAGTATTTCCTTCAGGTGGCCAAAGCTGTTCAACAATGGATCCTGTTCTTCATCCTGAAAACCAAAGCGGATGGGGGGGGTGCAAAATTTCAGTATTTCATTTGGAAATTATCTTTAATAAAAAGAAAAGATTATCAAAAAAGAATAAAATAAATACTTTTACTATTTAAAAATTCTTCAATGCAACAAATGCGATGATGCTGTAATAGCCTTTTTGTTGAATACACTGAAGCAATGTTCAAATATTACTTTTAGGGGTGCACTGAATGATTGCCCGGGATTTCCTTACAGGGATACTAAATTAATTTCGCAATTTTCATCATTAATAAAATAATATTTTGTCTATAATTAATTTGATAATTTCATTATTTTGCATGTACAATTTCACATTTTGACATTTGCAGGGCTGTGAAATGAGGAAGAGAAAATCCGAGGAAAGTCAAGGTGGGGGTTCTGGGAGCCACAGCCCAACAGTATAAGCGGGCCCCAGACACCAAGCAATTTAAGACGTAATATGGTATATACTGAGCATTTCCTGCAAGAAAATAATTGGTCTCAATAATATATATATATATATATATTTTTTTTTTTTTTTTTTAATTGAGTTCGCAGGTTCTAGAGCGTTTTCTAGTTGGGCTCCAGTGCTAGAGCACAATATTGTGTCAAATGTTGCCCACTCTACCCATTGCAGCCTGGTCATCCTGGAAGGGGGATTTATGCCACCTTCTCAAAGTTTCTCATTTTTCTGTGATGGTTTTTTTTTTTTTTTTTTTTTTTAGTTTTTCCCTTGCCCTCCTGGGGGTTACGCTCAGGGGATGTCGTTAATATTTATCACCTATGGGCATGTGAAGCCCTTTGAGACTGTTAGTGATCCAGGGCAATATAAATAAATGTGACTTTACTCATTCCATAACTCCACCAATACCTGATAGGTTTAGATCATGTGATTATACTGTAGGTAGCTTAGCAATAAGAAGATACAACATAAGAGATCGTTAATTGGACAAGAGTTAAAACTTTCAGCTCTGAGATGGTGAGACTTACTAAATATTCAGTAAGTGTACTAATTACTGTGAAATGTGAATATAATGATATAGCTATGATATGGAAAAAAAAAAGTGTTGTTCAATTACCAAGGGAGTGTGGGTGTTCCATCTTGAGTTCCTCTTGATAGCACCAACAACAGCAGAAATTTCACCCTGGACAATGTAGATACTTTTGTCCACCATGATGAGTTCTGAGGGAAAAATTAAAGTGTGAATTACTCATAACAAATTAAGTCAACATTACTTGTTATACAAGGGTAGCTAGCTAATGTGTATTTGGGTGATAGGCAATCACAAGAAAGACTTATGAATTTATATTTAGATATACTGCACTGGTCCGGTCATCGCAAGTGAGAGACCAGCAAAGTCTATGCATAATAAATCCATTTGTAGATTTTTGCAAATGAACAGTGCAATCAAGTCAGATGGAAATAATTGAAGGTCAAGTTGTAGAGTACATCTTGTAGAAATTGAGCCACATAAGTGTCATATTCCTAAAAAAAAGGAGCAGCCAAGAAGAGAGCTGGGCCTTGTCCACCTGGCCATCAGCTTTCAGGTTACAATTCTTACAAAGACTTAACTGGACGAAAAGAGACCTACTGAAGATGACCAGGATGGATGCTCCCAGCTGCGCAGGGCAAACTACAGCAATGAGACTTCAGCAGGGGTCATTCCACTGGGCAAGGTGGTGGCACTGATTGGCCCCCTAATGGACAACCCCAACTGGCTGCCTGGCTGGAACTCCCCACCATCCCCATAAGAACCACACATAGGATTTTCAGTCACAATAAACAATAATTCACAGGACTTGAGCTCCTGTGTTTAAGACTTTTAATCCAAGTGTGACAGATGCTAAATCATTTTCCTATGATTTTGCTCACGCTAACTGTTAAGGTTGCCGTTGTACAACATAAAAACGATGCGACGAGGGGGCACATCAGGAAAGATACTGTACAAGATTATGGTAAAAGAAACAAAAGGGGAAAAAAAAGCATCCAAGACCTGACACACATTGGAGGAAAAATTCCGCCTCACGGTTCTTGCAGTCAAACGTTAGGAGAGGTGTTTTTGATTGATGGACTTTTGTTTTGTATTTGGTCAACGATTAAGCCAATAGTACTTGTAAATAGTGTTCCTACTGTGACCAAAGGAAAACTGTGTTACAAAGTCACACCATGGCACATGGAACAACCAATAAATCAGACGAGCAAACAAAGGAAGCAGCAACCTCACCTCATGGCCACACAGGGCCAAGAACAAACAGAATGCCACCGCGGTAACCACAAACAAAGCCGTCACAGCCACAGAAGGGCGAAAAACAAATTGGCGGCTCCAAGCAACACCGTCACAAGGCTCTGAGCGATCGGAACCCAGAAGAAAAACAACGACTTTGAACCATAGGAACCTAGAGGCATGCAAGCCAACGCGCCAGAAGGTTCTGAGTAGGGCTGTGCGAGATGGCTAAAATGTAATTTCTCAATATGTTTGCCAGATGTATCAATAACGATACAATAACGATAGTATTACGGGTTCAGTGAAAACTAGTCATGCTTTTAAAAAAGGTCCAAAAGAATGTGGTAAGTATTGTATTTTCCACATTATGAATCAGTTTTTTTTTTTCATAGTTTGGCTGGGAGTGCGATTTGTACTCTGGAGCAATTTCTGCGTGAAATTATTAACACAATATTATATCATTTCACATGTCATTTTCACATTAAAACGCAAGTGGGTGCTCTAGGCAGAGTCTGACATAAGTGACGTAGAAGAGGAGGCACCCCATCTTTTACCTACGGAGTTGGCGGAATTGTTTAAAAGTGACACAGAGGATGAAGTTTTCATGGGATTTTATTATTTGGAGTGACATTGATGGTTTGGTCAACTTGTTAGCATGTTCTTTATGCTATAGTTATCTCAATATCTCTGAATATGTTACGTGAACATACCAGGCACATTCTCAGTTTGTTGTTTATGCGTCATGTAACGTTAGCATATCACTTATTCAGCCTCTTGTTCTCTATTTTTATTTTTACTTGCCTTTCAAGATGACATGTCCATTCTTGGTGTTGGATTTTATCAAATAAATTACCCCCCAAAAAATGTGATTTATAATCCAGTTTGCGACTTATGTTTTTTTTCTTCTTTAATATGCATTTTATGTCTGATGTGATTTATACTCCAGAGCGATTTATAATCTGGAAAATACGGTATATATTTTTGGAGAATTTACTGACAGCCATCAAGATTAACAAAGTCAGCAATAAAGTAAAAATAATTACATCCACATTGTGCTGCAGTAGTGTTTGGATGCAAAATAATGTTATGCTGAAATAGAAGTGTTTTTGTGCATGCCTGTGTAAACTGCATCAACGTCTGTGTTGTTTTGTAACCGTTTGTCCGTGCACGCCCATAGGAAGAACAAGGATAGAATGCGGATGGATGTGTTGTCTGGCTTGACAAAAAGTGAACCAGTCACTCCCGCACGACTATGGCTGTGTATGCGTTGATTCATGACATGGCGGTCTGATGTGGAAACTTCGAGCGGTATGAACTATGCCTGGGTCATGTTTTTGAGACTCTGAATATACAATATATTAGATTGTATGACTTTTTATTAATCCCTAAAAAGATCGTGGCAGTCAACAAATATGTACATTTGCCGAACTAAGTAAGACATAGCTTGAAACTTGCTAGTTCATTCCATTTTTCAATTTTAGCGCTAATCACCAACTTTAATTTTCAAAATCAATGAATCTGTCAAATATTTGATTAATTTCTGAAACAAATTTCTTTGAAAAACAATTTATTCAAATCACTCATTTAAATACAAAAACAGATGATTACTTCAAATTGACACTGCAGAAAAACATGACTGAGATCTGCATTGTGCAGTGTTCAGGAAAGTGGGAGGGGACGATACACTGCATGCAGGCCGGTCTCTGGTGAGCTGCAGTACAAGCTGCGGGCGATTGTTTTTTGTGATCGGCAATGAAAGGCATTGATTGACATATGCCGATCATGGACATTTCCATGGAAATAGACAAATTACAATCAGACCAACATTAGTAAACGGTAACTACTGCCGTGACTTTTTCCTGAATGCAGTGAAATGAGGTGTCAATTTGTGGTGGAGTTTATATCATCAAGTGGACGATGCACCAGGCGATTATTTGGGGTACGTCTCTTTGTGGAAACTTGTGGAAAGTGAATGCAGCTAGGGTTTCCCTACCTCGTGAAATTAGCAAATTCAGATGCCATTAATTCTCAAACTTTGGTTATTTTGGTATGAGGTTTTCAGCCCCAGGACTGTCATGAAGCTTTGACTACTGGTCCCTTTTTTAGCATTTAAATTCATCAAGTGATGTTACATTATTACAGGAAGTTTTGGAACATAGACTTGGAATCAAGATTTAACTGTTAAACAGCCTTGTCTGCGTTTTGTATTTTTTGGGTGTCTAAAATTAATATGATTAATGACAGGTAAAAGAAAACAGGTGTGCACAAGTGATCAATTCAAAGCCATCCCTATTTTGAAAAAATATTGGTCGGACAAGATAGAAAATATGTCTTCCTCGTCAATACCAAAAAGCAATATGGATTACGAGAAACAGATCCCAAATCCTGGGCTGTTCATATTTGAAGAATACATCTAAAAAAATTGCTGGATTAACCTTTTACTTGTGTCATGGAAGCCATTCCAGATAACACAAAAAGCAAGATTATGTATACGCATCTTAGTGCTGAGTAGGTGGAACCACATTCTTTTACATTAATGATAAGCAGTTATAAAACATACGCAGGGAAAGATATGATGCAGGAAGGGTGACGATGATGGACCTGCAGCATATTCTGAGAATAACATCGACCAGAGCTCAGTGGCCTACATCAAGTTTCCGTTTGCCTGCAATGTATTTCAATTTCAACACCAGGTTCCACTGCTCCTAAAAACAAATAAATAAACTAAAGAAAGAACGAAAGATAGGGTGCCACAGTGGTCGAATGGTTAGCACGTTGGCCTAACAGTGCACAGGTGCAGGGTTCGATACAGACTCCAGCCTTTCTCTGTGGAGTTTGCATGTTCTCCCTGTGCCTGAGTGGGGTTTTTTCCGGGTACTCCGGTTTTCCTACCACGTTACAAAACAACTGTAGACTAATTGGACACTACCAAGGTATGATCGTGATCACGGATGGTTATTTGTTTATGTGTACCCTGTGATTGGCTGGCAACCAGTTCAGGCTGTACCCAGCCTACTGTTCCAAATTAGCTGGGAGAGACTCCAACATGCCCGTGACCCTCGTGAGGATACGCTCTTCGGATAATGGAAGGATGGATGGATAAATAAATAAAAATGAAGAGTAGTGCCATATCTTTCCAACTGTAAGTCACACTTCAGAGTTTGGCTGCCCCTGTATACAAAGAGGCGACTTGTGTATTTAGTCAAATGAGAGTTCAAACTCCCTCTTCCCGAATTGTGTTGACGGCAGCGAATGAGTTCCAGTTGAATCTGAAACTTCCGCTTTCAACAACGGAAACGTTTTTCTTTTTCATTTAAAATGGCTTTCCTAAACTACAATACCACGGTGCATTGTGCCAAATGTAGAATTCTGGTCAGTTATTGTGTCTTTTAGTGCTGGAAAAATATATCCTTGTTGGAGTGGATTCCACATCATAAACTATGGAGCTAGCTCAGGAGACCACATTAGTTGCCAATACTACAAGAACAATTTTGATTTTTTCTTTACTTCAACTTTCTTTTGGTGGTTGGTAAATACTTTTAATGCATTACCGCCACCTTCTTTACGATTCTGCACCACAACAACAATTTTCTATTTCCAGAACATTTTTTTTTCCCCGAAAGCATTTCAATAGCCGTAAATTACACATGGATTTTCGCTGTTCGGCCCAGTCCTCTATTACCTTTGAATAGCAGCGGTTGACTCTACACAATTTAAAGATTGTGTAATTGTACACAATTGCATTAACAGAATTACACTCCCTGAAACATGTGTCGGAGTGGGAGGCGGACTAAATAAATACATGCACACATTAAAATTATCATGTTCTTAGCTGTCTCGCTTCCTATTCCTAATCTTACTCATAAGATCCTGATGACTGTTCATAGACTGGACTCAACACGGAGGGGTGTTTGGTGTCTGAATTGTAATACCCGATACATACATATTGAATCATCTTTTATTGGAGACATGTACACCTTGAGTAATTGTGTATCGTCATTTCATACACCTGACTGGCACAAAGAAGTAAAGGTGTGCACAGCAGAAACAGTAGGTATTTAGTTTTATTCATTATTTTTGTAGCATTTTTTTTTTTAATTATATTGTTCTATTTGTTTCAAGACGGCCAGGTGATTGAGTGGCTAACGCATCAACCTCACAGTGCAGAGGTCGTGGGTTTCATCCTGGTTCCGGCCTTCCTGTGGGGAGTTTGCATGTTCACCCCGTGCCTGCGTGGGTTTTCTCCGGGTGCTCCGGTTTCCTCCCACATTAAAAAAAACATGTATGGCAGGCTGATTGAACACTCAAAACTGTCCCTAGGTGTGTGTGTGTGTGTGTGTGTGTGTGTGTGTGTGTGTGTGTGTGTGTGTGAGCGTGGATGGTTGCTCATCTCTATGTGCCCTGCGGCTGGCAACCGGTTCAAGGTGTCCCCCGCCTACTGACCGAAGACAGCTGGGATGGGCTCCAGCATGCCCCGCGACCTTGAAGATAAAGCGGACCATAAATGGATGGATAGATACTTGTTTCGAATTTATTTTCTAGGTGTTCTTGGATATTCTAGTTAAATTTGAGTTTTGGTAGTTGAACAAATACTTAGTCTTGAAATCAATGAATAATTGCGTTGATAAATTGTGATTAAGTTTTTTTTATCTGCCGTGAGGATTATTTTTTCCATGATCACCCAGTCCTAGCTTATTATATACAAAAAGTAGGACAATCATGGTAAATGGCATGTAGATTGATACTCGTAAAACCGAAATTTGCATCATCTCAACTTGAGCTAAAAATAAAAATAAATTTATGAATAATGAAATAAAATTATGCACTTGTAAATAGCCCACAGGGACACTCATGTCAGACCGGTTCTGGTTTAAAACTGAGCTAACCGCAGAGGACACAGCATTCCAAAGACACTAATCGAGCCATAGTTTGATTACTCAGTTCACATTATATAGGTTAAACCTCAAAGCGACAAAGTAGCAAAATTGCACCAAGTAACATTTACAGTATGCATAATCCATTTGAAGCTACAATCTTTTTAAAAGGTGACATCAAAACTGAATATTTAATTGGGGGGAAAAACTCGCCTAAGGGGTTAAAATTCCCTTTAAGGAAAAAAATACGTTTTAAAAGCCATCCACTTATTTCACTGGAGCATCTTCACGTTTCAAGGGTTGCTCTAATTTCTAACAAAAACATTTGCTGTCAACGGGTGCGATAGCTAGTTACGTTGTCACCAGTAAGTAAAGTTGTGTTGAGGAAAATTTAAAGCTATCTGGAGGAAAACCAACCGAAATGACAGGTGTAGTTAGCAACCAAGCTCAGCTAGCATGTAAAGTCGCTGAGATCGCTATGTATTCATCCTTTATGTAGCCTGCAAACAACACTTGTGTGTAAGCTTAATGCTCGCGACAAAACGGTCTACCACAAAGGTTCACCAGAAATAAAATAAGCATTACCTGTGTGAGTGATACTTCTACTTCGAAGATGGAGTTCCGTAGAAGCAACTGACGAACTAGCTATGAGAAAGCTAGCAGCTAGCCGGCCAACAGTAAGTGGAGAAGACCAGGATTGTAGTTCAGTTCACCACAACATATAGATGAACTACAATTTTGGGACATTCCACAGCATGATGACATACATTTTATACGCACCACTGATTCATTCGATCAACAGTAAATGACGAACCATTAAGAAAACTCAATCGCCCTGCAGTGGCTGTCAGTCTGGTCTTGGTAAACACAGTGACGTGGAAAAGCAATGCGCTCTCAACCGCGCTTGACAACAGCGTTTTGATTGGCAGTTTCGTCGTAAAGTTTTGAAGCGGAACTATAAGGAAAATAATGAGGAAACTTTTCATTTAGAATTTGGATTTTGTTTTGTAAACCCCACTTGATCTGTTAAAGCTCATTAAATAAAAATAAAGAATATTAACAATAATATCGTAAAATAGAGGCGGGACAAAGACAGCAGTTAGGTGCGATGGTGTATGGCGGAAATTACGTTCACTTCACCAATGATTACGTTTTCATTGGCAGCGTGACTGTGCTGTACTGCATAACTCAACATTTGCCCTTGCAATTACACAATTTCCATGTTTACTGACTAAAATGATAAATGCACCTTTTGTGGAATTACATCAAAGACAATTACTGTGGAGACGAATGAAAAGCTAATACCGATTCAAATCTCCAGTCTATTTATCCTTCAATATATGATCATACATGAAAGGAAAAAAAACCAACATAAACAAAAATTGACAGGGGTATAATTTATATCTATTTTCGCCAGTGGCAGCAGTAAGTGCGCTGTAGGAACACTTCCTGTAATATGAGGCGCAACAATTAATCAACAATTAATTGATTATAAAACGAAAAAACAATTACTTTTGATCGTCAATTAGTGATCTTATTCAACTAAAAAATGTCAAAATCCTTGGAATTTCAGTCTAGTGACTTAAATATTCTAAGATTTCTGTTGCCCTCCAAGAAAGCAGACTATTTTTGTGTTTAATCAAAGACATTTGCCAACGCCTGCTCTTACTTATGCAAAAAAAGATCACCATTTTGCTCAGTTTCTGACATGTCGAACTGAACTATAATCCGTTTGTTTGTGCATTTTCAAATAATGCCCTGTTTTTGAATAAAGGGACGTAAATTTAAAAATGTTCTTTATTTAATGCATCGATTAATTGAGAAAAAAACTGACAGATTAATCATAAAATGACATCACTTACTGTATATTTCAAAAAAACTCAAACATCTCCAATTGCACCTCAGGTAAGAATAACCTTAAATGTTATTTGACCAAGATAGAGCTGTTTAGAAAAAAAAGGTAAATTACATCAAAGTTAAATGCAGAAGGTTTGAATGTGTGAACTGTGATGTGCCCTTCAGAAAAAAAGATGTTACGTGAGGTAAATTCCATCCAAGGGTGACGGAAGGCAAGCCGTAATTTACATTTCAACAGTTAAGTTGGTTCAAATCTAAATATGGTGGACACTCGGACATAATTAATATGATCGTTGAGCAACTGGCTACTGAATAACTTATGTTGCTCATATCGATGGGACGGACATACCTTTGATGGTACGATGGATAGCGCGAGGAAAAAATTGCAATACATCTGGCAGTGCAACCCCAAACACAACAAGTGTCTGTCACTTGCTTCCAGTTCAGGTCAGCAATAGTCAATCCTTTTTGTCACAAAATTATAAAATAATATATTTGAATGTCATTAGTGTAATTACCCATCAATCCAGTGTATGAACCGCTTCATCCTCACGAGGGTCATAGGCGTGCTGGAGCCTTTCCCAGATTACTTCGGGCAGTAGACAGGGTACACCCTGAACTGGTTGCCAGCCAATCGCAGGGCACACATAGAACTACAGTCATTCACACTCACAATCACACCTAGGGATAATTCAGAGTATTCTATTAACCTGCCATGCATGTTTTTGGAATGTTGAGGAGAGTACCCGGAGAAAACCCATGCAGGCATGGTGAGAGCATGTAAACTCCACACAGGAAGGCCACAGCTGGAATCAAACCCTGCACCTGTGTATTGTGAGCCGGACCTGCTAACCAGTTGATCACTGTGCTGCCATTTGCGCAATTAATTGTCCCAAATTTTTTCACATGCGTTCTGCAAGCAGAAAAAGGAAGTTGGAATGTAAGAACACTTGACCTTTGGCATTGATTCTAATTTGGTTTAGATTTTAATTGGCCTTTACGAGTATAGTAGTACCTCTACTTACGAACATTTCTTCATACGAAATTTTCAAGTTACGAAACACCTCAACAAGAAAATATTGCCTCTTGTTACGAAAGAAACTTCAAGATACGAAAGTTAAAAGTACAGGATGGGCTGAGACTCGCATCTCCGAGTTTCCTGAAGGCAACATACTTATAGCTGCTCTGCCATTGGCTATTACCAAGCATCTTCCTGGCATCCCATTGGTGAAGAGGGCCTTCTACCAAATGTGTCTAGGTGTGTAGATATATAAATAGATAGATATGTGTCTATACAGCATTCTCGTCACTCACCCCTCGGACCATGAAGAGTTCCGATAGTTTTACGTTATTGTGAATAATCCAGAAAAAGTGTTCAGCAGTCAGGTGGTTGCTTATTATGCATTTTCGAAGGATTGTTAAAAGCCGACAAAAGCAAACGTCCTTGGATCGGTTGGTGACAATATGCCAAGCAAAAACCACCTCTGAGAGAGAACATGAACTAAAGAGGGCAAAAAACAGTGAAAATGCAGTTAAACATTAAATGACCATCAATTTTAATCTTTATTCTTTGTTTTTTTACATTATGCACAACTGTCATTTATTGTGCAATAATCTAATTGTAACATGTATTTTTAACATATTTAGATGCATTTTTATGCTTTAGAAAACATTTCTGTTTGAATTTTGGGGGGCTTGGAACGGATTAGGGCATTTACATGGAAAATGTGTCTCTACTTACGAAATTTTCTTGTTACGAAATTTCTTCGAGAACCAATTAATTTCGTACTGTAGAGGTACCACTGTACTTTGTTTTCAACGGCTATAACCTTGTTCTACATGAAACAGGGTATGCCCACTTTCCAACAAACTTAGTTTTTTTATTGTTTCATATTTATAGCCTCGAAGTGTTTTCCATTTAAATATTTACTGTGTTAGAATAGGTTACCTAGCCACCTTAGGAATGGAACACATTGGAAACCAACTCCATATACAAGCATAAAATACCTAATGTCCTCACTTCACTTGCCAGATAAGCATTGTACAAATCTATTAATTGCAATTTCAAAGTGGTATCACTAAATCTTAAACTATTTGTGTAAATATAGTGTGGGTCTTTGCAAATCTTAAACTAATCCTTTGTAGTCTGTTATCCCTTGTGTGCAGTCACAAGTCAAACATTTGGACTGTACATTTAAAGGATACACAGAAGCGCCTCTACTTACTTTATACAAAATGTTTGCTCACCTGTGGAAGTTGTTATTTTCATCATTTGTCTGCAAACACATGCATTATCTTTTTCCCACGTTAGATCAGACAGCTCTAAATCAATAAGAACTCAGTGGTCTGTGTGAGGAAAATGGGTTTACATAATTAGTTGATTATTACTCCTTAAATCCGCTCCTTCAGTCTTGTGCTGCATATTATCAATCAATTCTCTTTAACCATGTCCAATTTTCCTTAGCTCTTAAATAAATAAATTTCACATTATTATGTTAAAATGAACTTCAAGAATGAACAAAAGTAGCAGAATTGGCCATTTTAAATGCTTAAGTCAAGACATACCGCTCATTCATGCTTCTCATCAAGCTGCAGGTAAGGGTCAAATAAATACTAAGTACTCGTTTGTCATGACAAACTAAAATGGTGTGTTGTAAGATTGGATATTTGGAATGTTTGGCACAGGTATGTTGGACTATGCTACGATAGGAATATCAGAATCGGAATCCCAGAATGTTCTGGATCCTTAATCAGTTGATCTGCTGGTTTAAAAGTCCTTATTGTACACTAAAAGTCAGAAAGTAATATCATACAATTTGTATGATTTATTTTGTTATTGATAAAAAAAAAATAGACATTTTATTCATTTTGGAAAGCATCTCTATTTGTTAAAGTCATTACAGTCAACCCCTCGCTATATAGTGGCGAGTTTTCACGCTCTTAGTATCCAGTGCTTTTGTCCTGTAAGCATTATTTCAGTTGTTACTCCACTTTTTAATTAATTTATTTATTTTTAAATACTGTACCACAATACATTGCTCTTACTATCTCCCAATATATTGTCAGCCTCTTAAAATAATGACCTAAGGCTTTTTTTTTTTTTTTTTTTTTGCCTTAAACATCTCCTCAGGATGCTGGCCACCTCTTCTATAATAGGCTGCACTCTTAGTTAAACAGATCATTCAATTCTAGGCCTGAAATTAAATTATTAAAGATAATCAGAAAAATTGTTCAGTTGTTGGTGTTTTCTAAAAAAAAAATGAAAAAATGACTTGGGGAATGATTTTAAGAAGGTGACGATATTATATGCGTTTAAATGTGTTTGTGTTGTTTTAAAAATGTGTTGAAAGACCTTTAAAAAAGAAAATTAAGTACCATAAATGATATAAAAACAAGCCAAAAATGTATTGAAACAGGACATTTCTATTTCACAGATTGGAATTTGTGGAGGGGGTAGTGGAACGGATGGGAAAGGTAACTTTGTGATGGAGTATTATTTATTCATAAATTAAATGGGAAGGTGGTAAAATGGTAAACGCTTGTTGTACAATGTCAGAAACCTATTTTTGAAATTTTGACTTTCAGCAATAAAAACTACTTGATGAAGTGAAACATGAAACATTTTATTGCAGCATTCATTATATTCCAGCATTCTGACCTTGCAGGTCCAAAATGAAATACATATGACTCTTTACATTTTTGTTTGACATTTCAGCTTTACATTCCATTTTCTCAACTGCATGCATGGTTCGCATTGCTCTAATCACAAATTTGTTCGCTTGAGTTTATCAGTGTCGGCATGCAGCTGCGCTCCTTTTTCCAAACCAGGTGGTACCGAAACAAATACACCTGCATCATTGTTTGCATCACTTTCCGAACCAACTTTGGCAGGTGATTTTGCAAGCCCCTCTGCTCCAGCAACATGAGTAAAGTTCAATGAAAGATAACAAACATTGTTGACAGTGTCATATCTCAGGGCCCACAGCTGTGTTAAGAATCTGTTAATACTCTGACAAAGATGTATGATTCATTGCTTTCTTTTGTCTGTTTGTACTGTAACACCATAATCACTCATCTTGAAATCTGGAATATTTTTACTTAACATTGTGTGTTGTCTTTCAATGGCAACACAACAACATGTTGCGCTAACCAATAATGATAATAATAATAATAATAATAATAATAATAATAATAATAATAGGGCAGCCCGGTGGTCCAGTGGTTAGTGCATCGACCTCACAGTGCAGAGGTACAGGTTTCAATTCCAACTCCGGCCACCCTGTGTGGAGTTTGCATGTTCTCCCTGGGCCTGCCTGGGTTTTGTCCCGGTACTCCGGTTTCCTCCCACATTTCAAAAACATGCATGGCAGTTTAATGGAACACTTCAAATTGTCCCGAGGTTGTGAGTGTGAGCGTGGATGGTGGTTCGTCTGTGTGTGCCCTGCGATTGGGTGGCAACTGGTTCAGGGTGTCCCCCGCCTACTGCCCGAAGACGGCTGGGATAGGCACCCAGATTCATTAATCTGATGAAATAGTCAAACAACCATTACCTACCAAAGTCTTCACCAATTAAATTCTTACACTTATCAAGTTTATTCTAAAACTAGTTAAGTCTGGAGTAATTGTTATCATACTTTTTCCAATAACAACCAAGTTTTCCTCAAACACATGACACAGGTTTTATTTCCAAAAGGTATGATTAATATTATTGTAAGTCATTGTTAAATTATGCACAATTTAAACATTAACACTGCACATAAAAATAGTAATATAAAAACTGTATTAAACATATTACATTAAAATGGATAGCATGTAAAAGTTAAATAAAAACTGTACCTAAAAAAATGCTTGAAAACAGGGAGTTGTAAAAGATTCCATGGGAATGTTTTGCACATCAAAGTTAAAGAAACTAGATTGTACTCAACAAATGCAGGGCACTGGATGAAAAAAAAAAGTATAAGCCACAGTAACATTTTGCGCAATTTGAACATTAAATTCAGTGATTTATTAGTGTCCCACTAGAGGGAGCCTACATATTACTAGTGGTACTAGTACCACACTTTAAGACTCATTGGAGGCACGAAAAATAAACTGAAGTGTTAATTCTGCCTTAGCTGCATGCAGCTGTTGTGAAAGCACTATATAAATCAGGATGTGTTGTATTGTATTACTTGTCGTAGCGGGAAGTGAAGAAGTGGCCATCTTGCGTTGCCACTGCCGAATCTCGTTGAACTTGAATACATTAATTCCTCTGCCTGGGTTTCACATTGTCTCTCCGGTGAAAATGCCACTAAGTGTGGCGGACGGTTGTACCAATAATTCTAGAAGAAGCTCTCAATGCACATTTTATTGGACAGAATGAAATTATCAATTTTCACATAAGGTATATCTCAAGCGTGCTACGCAAAGACACATCTGCATCATGTTGTCAGAATCATGAACAATGAAGTGAAAGCAAAGTCCATCAAGAAAAAAAACGTGAAATGTAAACCTACTTTCTGTTAGTCATGAAAGACCGTGAAAAAATATACTCTGAATGGTCAACGCAGCCAGTGAAGTTCGCTATCTGCAAGGCTGTCATTTTTCTGTGAAGGGACCCTGATGTAAAAAATGCACTGATAGCAGTATTTTCAGCAAAAAATAAATAACAGTTGTCAAGAATTGAGGCAACACAAGATGTAATTGGGGCAACACAAGATGGCTGCCCTCTGCCTCAAGCCATGAGAGCCAACTGGCAGTCCAGGTTGTCCATCGATCCATCCCTTTATCCTCACGAGGGTACCAGGGGTGAGCTGGAGCCTATTAGTTTAGGTTATTAAATATTTAAATTATCATTAAAATTTTCCACAATTCAACATTGTTCTTAGATGTCTCACCACTTTGATGCATGACATAATCACATTCCATCTAATGCATAACATTTGTTTCTTCATGTTATTCCATGTTGACTGAGTTTTAATTTATTCGATCTTTTGAAAAATCAAAATAATTATTGGACGCTCCAAGTGGTCTTGAAATATTTTGGTTTTGATAACCATACATTCTCTTTTTTTTAATGTTCATAATATTTCACATTTCCATTTCCATTCCATGACCAAACAAAAGAAACTACAAGTAAACACATCACTATGACGAAAATTGGCGAAGGAATTGAGGGAGGCAACATCCAACATTTTGTGTGTCAGAATCACTGGCCACCTCCAGGTTTTCCTTGCATTAGGAGCGACTAACCATTTCATCCACTGCTTCACTCTTCCTTTTGTTTTGTGAGATGACTTCTGGTTTGTTCATCAGACTATTGTCATACTTTGCATGATACTCACAAGGACAATAGCCCTTCCCTTTCCTTGTTAGCTCAAAATGGGCACATTGCCTTTGAACTCAAATTCTGAGCTATGAATCTCCCGTGATTTGGATGGCTTCGTGGCAGGCCGGTCGGTCTTCTTTTGTGGAGTCCCACCCATATCACTTTCTGGTAACCATTTTTGTTACATTGCAGAAAATAGCCTATCAGCAATTCCGTATCAATTCGGGGGTGGGGGGGAATAAGGGACTTTTCGCGGGCGCGCATGCGTATGTGTGTGCGCGCGCGCGCGCGCGTGTGTGTGTGTGTGTGCGTGTGTGTGTGTGTGTGTGTGTGCGCGTGCCGGAGTGAGTGAGTGAGGGAGAGCGTCCCGAGATATGGGGGCCGTCCTTTAGTGGACCTCGCTGTCACACACACAATATTTCGCATGAAAGCAGCCCCCACCCTCTCTGCCCACCCCTACATTGTGTGTGGGATCCAACCGCACTGTTCTTGCAGTCTACATGACAGCACAGAGGGGAGACAAACTGCGAGGAAAGCAACTCACTCACCGACTCTCGACTAGCTTTTGTGACTTTTTGTCAAACCGATGAACTTTTTGTCCATGTCACCGTCACACCTGAAGCCAGGACAGCCAGCGGCCCGCAGCAAAGCTCTTTGCCTTCTCTACGGATTAATATAACCAGACCGGGATTGGATGTAAGTGCTCGCAGCCGCACTTTTCCCTGCCTGTCGAGAACTTGTTCTTCTCATACACGTTTTCCGAAAAGCAGACATGAAAATGACTACGCGTGTTTACGCCATTTGGTTGATTTAACAGATGATCTGCGTTGAATTAAACTTCTTATTGGGCACAGGCAGAAAGTCCACAATAAAAGCAAACTACCTTTATTTTTTAAAGCAGATTATTATTTTAAATGCAATGGACCAAACGTGATATTGATTTGTTCTTGCATTTGAAAATGAACTGCCTGCAATTTATAGCGCACATTAATTGAAATTATTTTATTACTCCATAGGAAATACACACGACTGACTTCCCAGAGGCAGACAAGTCTGTGAAAAATATTTCGAGGTCCAAAATTGATAGGTGGCAGGTGGTTGCGGGGCCACAAGAGACACTGCTCTATAAGCCCCCTCCCTACCCGCCCCTCCCTAAACACGCACAGCCGCGCGAGTAATAAACAAGTCGAAGTTCACTATCAATTTTCAAAAAGTATTCTGTTAAGGTAAATATATTTTAAAAGTACGTCATTACCTCATCATTATTTTCGAGGATTAGATTAAAAGTGATACGATACATTTAGGCTGTATGTGAAATAATATTTTTTGAATGTAAAGTAAATAAAACCCGTTTGATCAAACGTTTTGGAAATGAGATTTGCCGAATAGAAACAAACATTTCGGTATTGTTTCATGATCTACTGCCTGGTATATGATAATCTGTTTCAGTAAACTATTGTTATTGTTGGCCAGATTTACATTTTCAATTTAACAATCAGAATCTCTACAAAAACAACAACAAAAATAAATCAGATAGACGACAAATCAAATCTAGTTTACAATATTGCGCTCGCCTCCCAGCAACGACACACGGCAATGTTAATTTAGTTAAACGTTTTGCGGCAGTGCCGTTCTTTTTTGTGGTTTTGCCGTGGGAGAACACAGCCTGCTGAAGTGACAGTGATACACGTGAAAATAATTTAAAATTAAAAAATAAAATAATGTATTATATGTAGGCCTATTCATTCAATCAATAGTAGGCCTAATTTATTATTACTTTTCCCTAATTTAAAAATTAGTTTTAAAACTTCAATATGTCATTTTATATATATATATATACGCACACACACACATACACTCACAGTAGATTCGGATTCAGAAAACATTTTTGTTTATTTTTTTGTTCTTGTTTTGTTTGTGTTTATTCCACCAATGCAAATTGGCTAAAATAAGCATACATTTAAAATTGAAAGAATACATTTATAATTGAAAACTAACCTACTGTATAGGAATTTGTTGTCGTCGTACAAGCGGAGAAGTAAAGATAAGTTAAAATGTTTAGAAAAAAAACAATGAATTTGCCATGATACGTCGTTCTTCACGGCAATTTCCACATGTGAAAGAACTAACATTTATTTCTCTGACAAACTATCTAAAATAGGAGCGTAAGTACGGACGTCCTCAGTCAGTTATTTGGAGGTAGTGTTTGATTGTGCAGGTCTCGGCCTCCTTCAATCATATGCAAATGAGTGTTATAGGAGGGCCCGAATTAACATCTACAAACATCGGACCGAAATTCCATCTGCCGTCTCTTCAAGGAGGCCCTTAATAAGTTCTCAGACAGCAAAGTGACACACATCTTAATCAACTCTTAATCCCTAGAATTAATTCTCGACGCGTTTATGAATAATTCCCGCGCTGATAGCTGCTGTCCGTGCAAATGCGAACATTCTGCACAACGGACCGCCAGATGGACGGGGCAATCTCCCGAAATATGAGCGGATTTTTACATCCTTTATTATCTTTTTTATTATTTTCACCATCCTCATATATATTTTAAATGAGATCGGTGTTACTGGCATACTGCTTATGCTAATGAGCACAGCCAACGCAAATCGAATATTCATCTAGCTAGACGAACATGGCCCCAGCATCAAGAGAAAAGTCACCCACATGCTTGCAATATTATTATTTTTTTAATATTACATGGACACTGCACTGTCATTAACCTCCCAAGTGAAGTGCACATTTCAGTTCTACAGTCACGCACCTTGTTAGCCTTTGTGGCAGGTTGTTGGTCATTAGCGGGAGGGGAGGGTAGCTGGGTGTAGAAGGATCTTGATTTTGGAAATATTGTCAAGTGGCCCCCCTGGCGTGTGTGTATAGGCTGGGAAGGGCAGGCAGGAATGGGGAGGGAGGAGGCGTTAGGGTGCTGACACCTTGTTCTGGACAAAATGACTGGCAGTGCCAAGCCGTGGGCCTCTCAGCACCACATTGACACCACTCTGTCTGGCCATCCATCACTGTCAGATATATATCGCCCCTCTGGGTTGTATTACAATCATATTACACACCCCTCTCCTCAAAAAAAAGAAACTAGTCGTTGTTGCCTGGTAAAAACCCTGGCTCCACAGTTCCAAAGAGTTTGGGTAGTGCGGCACTGCATTTCTTTCTTGCAAATTACAAATTACTGACTCAATTCCTTCAAAAAGGGACTTGTTTTTTTGGGACCGAATTGTAAACTTTGGTTTTAGCACAGAGGACATATACTGTACTCGATCCAAGGAAGATCACCCGAGGACTCCATTTTACAATTCAAACTAGTTCATTTAAATTTAGAGTGTTTGTATTTTGACACTTGGTTCACGGATGGGAACCAGATGAGATGGTTTCACAAGCAACATAGCTGTGTATTTTTCTTTTAGTTATACTGTTCATATACTATTTGAGTGATACAGTACTTTAAAAATACTGTGTGTATGTTCAAAACAAAATGAATGTCACTCTGATGCACTATTTACATGTATGTGAACAATTAAGGCAAAGTGGAGCTTTCTGAACCCCAAATCAATTTTAGCCCACAATTCTGTATCAGGAGCCCATTAATCCAAAGCCACCACACTAAGGCAGCGTGCTTACAAAGCTAATCTCTCTACTAGGAGTTTATGACCTTATACAGCCTCAAATGTTCTTTCCCAAGAAAGGACTTATAGCCCATGGCTTTGAAAACCAATTTTGGAGTCTTCTCATCTTTTCTGAAAGGCGATGATAATTCTCACGAATGCGCAATGGAAAACAGATGCAATTCTCTCGCATCATAATCTCCACAAAATGTTTGCAGTGTTGAGGTTCACGTCTCAGATTTCACACATACGGTACAGTATTCTGTTTTATTAAACTCGTCATCAGCATGCTTATGCAGAGTGGCTACAAATAAATGTATATGCAGTTGCTCTAAATGCATCATGTTGTTCACTTTGTATTCAAGTGTCATATTTTTTGTCCAACCTCTGTAATCACATAAACATTTCGTGACAATCCAGTCAGTGATCACATCAAAATAATTCAGCCGCAGGCGTAATAAAAGCTAGTACAGTAACTTTAAATATATTTTCGCTTCGGAAAGACACTTTTAACTTAAATTGAGTCAGAAAGCATATGATACGGGAAATATGAATTCATCCATGCATTATCTGAACCGCTTCATCAATTGTCAGTAAATGTGGTTTACGGATTTAAGATTGCAGAGCCTGATATGTTATGCTGCAAAAGGTCATAACTTCTTTTTTTAAAATATGACATATGGTTTAATACCATCTCATATATGCATCAACAAGGATGCAGATGTTCTATTCAAAGATAAGGAGATCTGACTCTATTGATGTCTCTCCAACACAAGATTATTTCCTTTCGACTTTAATGTACAGTTGGATCTCATTGCAAAAATAACTTAGTCGTGTCACTTTACACGTAAAAGGTAAAATCTCATTTGTAGCTGGTTGCGCTGAAATCAATCCAAAGAATGTGTTGTATTTTTCAGAAAAAAAAAATCTAATTTTCTTTGTTCAAAGCCATTTTTGCACACTGTCCAAAAAATGATACCCCTTTCCCGAGACAGGGGGCCACTGTTGAAAATTACTTTCTTAATGTGGTTAAAAAAAAACAAAAAACCTTGAGATGACACATCTCGTTTGTGAGGAGGTCCCACAACTGGACCCACACTGGAGTCGGTTCAATGATGTGTTTGTAATGTAAAGCAGGATGCCCACAGTGTTTCAACATGCAAAATATTGATTAAAAGACCAAGTCCAAGCGATATATTTAATTATTTAAAAATACAGTTCGAATTATTTCTAGATACATTATGTATTGGTGTGCTTTGCATAAGTGCATCAATACAGATTGCATAACACATTGAACATTTTCTATCCCTACTTAATTCTGATGAGTTGCGGTGAATGAAATCAGCCAGGCGACGGAATCTAGACCGGACCTGCTGGTAACAAACCTTTCACACACCTCCCAATGAACCTCAGTAATATTGGAACGGGTACTCGGACTTAATGTTTTAAATCAATGGCCCGAAAATCCTGCTCCACATTCCCTCCTTCGGCAAGCGCCCGGGGCGGACCGACCGGCTTAACATACCCGTCAGCCGGTCGCCAACCCCACCGACAGCACACCAACTGATAGCCGTGACACGCCATTGGAGGGTACCCGGGTGGACGTCTCCTCCGTCCTGCACGTCATTCTCCAGCGCTGGGGAAACCGCGAGCGCACGCCCGAGCTCGTCGTCTGCTTCCCCCTGGCCCGCCCGCTCAGCGGCAAGTCGGAGACGCCGCGCTATGGAGTCCACCGCAAAACAAAAATCCTTCCCTCACTCTATCTGGAAATACTTGGCTTACTTGGTCCCATTAATCAATTTTTATACTTTATTATTATAAGTTTAGAGTCGACAGACCAAAATGGAAACAGCTAGTTTTGAAAGTTAGCGCCCTTCTATGCGTGGTGAGGGATGCAACAGCGATATGACTGGCTGCACTTTCTGTCTATCAAATGTCAAATTTCAGAACGGATGAGAGGAGAGTGTCTAATTATTATTATTATTATTATTATTATTATTA